AACTTCCACCGTAAGAGAAGCCCCTCTCTTGTTTACAGGTAGCGGTGGCTCACTTAACGATCCGTTCTGGAGTTTCCGTGCAAGTTGCTGGTTGCCGGGGGAATATGAAAGGCACTCGGAGCCAGCTGACTGACTTCCCCTCTTCTCTGTGCAAACCAAAAAACATCAATGAAAAGCTACTTTCTTCCCTGCCGCTCTGTGGTGCGACAGGGAGGTGGGAAAGCAGGCGGACAATACAGTCAGCCGACACTGGGCAGACTCACAATGTGAAGCCTCTGTGAAGCGACAAACAGAGAAGCCTTTCTCATGGTCCAAGTGTTGCACCAATCACGCGTATGCGTTTATCTCCACTCTAATTATGTGGAGAACACATGCAAATTCACGTGCCGGCCACATCACATTGGATGTGAAGTAATGGAAACAACAAAGAAGCATGTGATTGCAACTCATAAAAAAAGGGGCAACACAGTGTTGTGATTACATAATTGCATCTTTGAAGAATTGCTGACTACTGTATGAAGGGTAAGTTGACATGACGCGACCTTTCGGAGCCTCAAGGTTGAGTAAACTGTAATTAGTAAGTGGAATCAAGTAGTTTGATGGGTCTGACACGGTACAATGAAAATATGAGATAAGACAGAGGGACAGACGGATAGATATGAATTGTATTAACTGAACAGTTAATTACATTTTATGATAGCAAACTTAACTATTATACCATTGCAAATGTTTACAATCAGAATCAGAATCTGAAGATGTAAAACACACAAGGAATTTTGTCTCCGGTAGTATGGGCTATACTAGTATTGCAATCACAAGCAACCATGATAAACAAAGACGTGGCATATAACTATTGAAAGACTTTCTGTTAATGTAAGGGTACCATTGTGCAGTAGTACCACCCACAGACAGTTGTGCGACAATGTGCAGAGCCATCGAGCAGAGATCAAGTGATCAGTGGTGCAACACAATACTACGACGGTTCCGCAGTTGGTGCAGATAATGGTTGCATCATTTTTAAGTGACCAGTGGCAGTAATTGGTAGTACAATTTAGGTGTGCAATTATACAGAAAGTCCTTGAGCGCTTTAAAGTGTCTGGTGCTGTGAAATATTGATCATTGACAATTGTTCAAGTATGAAGAGAGCTGGAGCGACAATGATCAGTGTGGTAATACTGTCACACAGGGGTGTGAAAAAAAATGCTAAGAGCCACTATAGATTTGAGTTACTATTTAGGGCGTTAATGGCGAGAGGGAAGAAACTGTTTGAATGTCTGCTGGTTTTGGTGCGCATGGTTTGATCGCGCTTACCTGAAGGGAGTAGCTGGAAGAGGTGGTGGGCCGGGTTGGGGGGGGGGGCCAGTAGGATTTTCCATGCCCTTGTCTTGGTTCTTGCGGTGTGCAAGTCCTCGAGAGTGGGTAGGGCGGCGCCAATGATTTTTTTCCTCAGCCCTAACTGTCCGTGGCAGTTGAATTTTGTCCTTTTTTGTGGGGGCCAGAACAAGACTGTGATGGAGGAACACAGGACTGATGCGATGACTGCTGTGTAGAACTGTCTCAGCAGCTCCTGTGGCAAGCCATGTTTCCTTAGCAACCTCAGGAAGTACATCCCCAGTTGGATACAGTTAATGTTGGCCTCCGAATTCATGTCCTGAGAGACTGTGATTCCCACGAACTTGAAAGTCTCGACGATTGACACAGGGCAGTTGGACCATATGAGGGGCAGCTGTGGGGAAGGATGTTTCCTGAAGTCCACAATCGTTGACCTCCACGGTGTGTTGGCTGCACCAGAGCACCAGCTGCTCGACTTATTGTCGGCACGCAGACTCGTCGTCGTCTTTGATTAAGCCGATGACTGTGGTGATGTCTGGGAACCTTCTGGATTTGATGGTTGGGTCGGTTGAGGTGCAGTCGGTTCGTGTAGAGGGAAAAAAGCAGGGGGGAGAGGACGCATCCTTGAGGGGCCCCAGCGCTGATAATTTTGTCCTTCCCAGCCTCACCTGTTGTGTCCTGCCCGTCAGGAAGCTGAGAATCCACTGAAAGATCACAGGCGGACACACTGAGATGGAAAAGCATGGAGGTGAGGAGTTCCGGGATGATGGTGTTGAACGCAAAGCTGAAGTCCACAAACAGGATCCTAGAGTAGGTCTCTGTGCTGTTGAGGTGCTCCAGGGTGTAGTGCAGCCCCATGTTGACTGCGTTGTCCACTGAACTGTTTGCCCGCTAGGCAAACTGCAGGGGATCCAGCAGGGGGTCTGATGATGTTCTTTAGGTGGTCCAGCACAAGGCGTTTGAAGGAATGTGAAATGTAGAAATGTGAAAATGGCATATTCTGCTTTGGGAAAATTGTACATGCAACACTGTTGGAATTACAGTGCAGTCGTCCTACTTTCCTTTGGGCCACGAATTCTCATCCACGACACAATTATTGAAACTTGCTGTGAGCCATTTTTAAAAACCTGGTTGATCGTTGATTGATATTATGCTCACATCACACATACCCCCTTCATAAGAAAACAAATATGAATAATTACCTCGGAAAAAGCCTGTTTCAGTTATTTGGAGGAAGCCGACCAGATTGATTTGCTTTAGGTCTGCACACTGATGATACGAAAAACAAATAGCCTAATACAATCATCCCAAAAGACAATTGTTTCACCTGGATGGCTTGCCAACAGAGCCTTTTATTTTCTGGACCACTGTGCGTCCTTGTAACAAAGGCCAGACTATTCCCAGGACAGGATGGGAGGCAACCTCGTGAGATAAACTTTTATTGAGTTACACCCAGACCAACTCTGATGACATTTGAGAGGTGCAACGCTCCAATCATGACCTCCTGATGACGAACGGCTCTGAACCTGTTTAGACAAAACAACTTGGGATGGCCTTTAGGAGAAGCTTAAACGGTCCCCCAAAAAAACGGCGTCTGCTTCCTGGAGGATTTCCTGCTCAACAACACAAAACCACCCCTCATGCAAGCATCATCATTCTATTATAATACTGCACATTCAACAAAGAGCTTTGTTAAAATGTGAGTTATTGCCATTATTTGTCTGTACAGTTAAAGTGTTGGTTGTAAGTGAACATGTTTGGAATGCTTTAAGGAAAATGGCACACCTAGTTTGCGGTGAAACTGAAATTCCAATCTTGTCGACGAGGTTTCAATTGAACTCTATTACTTGGTTGCTTGCGAATGACAGCTATGTTATTAGGCAGGATAGCAATCACCAAGGTCACACCAGTACACACATGTGCAGTACATATTCACAAAAGGCATCCAAACATCCCATTGCAAACACATTCTGGGAGGCTCTTCAAGCCCAAATCTGCTCCAAATTAGAAATGAAATGTCAATGTCTGGTTAGCACTTTTGCCTCACAGTGCAGAGGTGCAGGGTTCGATTCAGGCTCCGGCCTTCCTCTGTGTTTGCATGTTCTCCCCGTGCCTGCGTGGGTTTTCTCCGGGTACTCCGGTTTCCTCCCGCGCTCCAAAAACATGCATGGCAGTTTTAATGGGACATTCTAAACTGTCCCTAGGTGTGATTGTGAGCGTGGTTTTCTCCGGGTACTCCGGTTTCCTCCCGCGTTCGAAAAACATGCATGGCAGTTTTAATGGGACACTCTAAACTGTCCCTAGGTGTGATTGTGAGCGCGAGTGGTGTTTCGGCTGTGTGTGTGCCCTGTGATTGGCAGGCAACCGGTTCAGGGTGTCCCCCGCCTACTGCCCGAAGACGGCTGGGATAGGCTCCAGAAGTTGAGGCATCCATCAATGGCCACCGGGCTCACTGAGTTGAACGCTGGAGAGAAATGCTCAAGTCATGCGTGTTAAGCGACGGCGGTTCGAATTTAGTGACCTATCTTTTGCCTGAAGCCCAAATTCCACTACCACACAAGGGAATTCAGACTTATGTAATAGTTCATGGACTATAAAGTGTGGCTGATCCAATTATGAAGACTTTCTATGAACACACTGGCTGCTGCCCTGCAGGTTTTTTTTTTGTTTTTTTTTAAATCTTAACAGTTTGAGTTCACACCAGGTCTGTATGCAAATGAGCTGGATAGTATTTCATTCATGTGAGGTTAACTAACTCGGGAGCTAAGATTAGATAGATTACATACATAGAGAGAGAGAGAGAGAGATGATGATAGGTAGCTAGCTAGCTAGATAGATAGGTAGAGTTCTACATTTGAGTGTAAAACGGTTGATGGTTGAAGAACTTAATCATAGGTATAGGAAAACGGGTTTTAACCTGAAATTAAAACCACTTTATTGGTATGTTTTAAATAATTATTCATTCATATTATTAACGTTGATAACAAAGAAAGAGAGGGGGAATTTTTTTTTTTTTAATGATTTTGGGTTGAGGGCGTATTATGGACAGGTGTGTGTTATTCATGATAGTTTAAGCCTTTTAACCTGTTTTGAAGCACCTGACTTGCTAAAAAGTAAGAATTGCTTTGAATAAAGGAAAACGTATTCAGTTTTCATGAGACTGTTAGGGGTCCCTGGAAGTTTCGAGGCACCAATTAATTGCCTGGGCTTGCCGAATGGTAAGTCTGCCTCTGCACACGCGATTGTGTGATCACACATCGCTTCACCTGACCACCGTCCCAAAATAAGAAAAAGAAAATTCCTCGCATGATCTGTCCTATTTTCCACCAAATTGCTATTATTTGCCAAATTCTGCCAGGTTATGTAATTTACAACTGTAGCTTGATATGCAAAAGAACAACGACGACATAAAAGCAAGTTAGAATCCGTTTTTTAATGTTCCTCAGTCATATTGTTTGCAGTTCTGACCGACATGTTCCTAATGTCATCCATCTGAGAGCCCCCTGGCAATCCCGGGTTTGTTTGTTTTTGCTGCGAGCACATCAGCGTGCGCGCGGTGGGCCGGTCCGTGACGTCACTGCTCGCTCATGTATAACCAATGAGGAGGCAGCGGCTCTGCACAAAACTGGCTGCTTCTGGTTTGCACGCATACATACAAAAACCGAGCCGGTGTGCTGCAGGCAAACCATTGGCACAAAAGCGAGCCGGCGGTGCCACAGCGTGACGTTTTAGCGGCGTGAAGACGACGAGACACTCGGGTAAGTGCGGCTGGAGACATGACACGAGCGCTCGTGTTTTTTTTTTTTGGTTTTTTTTTTTGGGCTAACAGCGCGTCACTTGACAGAAAGCAAAACAGAACCCCCTCGTTTTGTTTACGATTGGTCTCGTTCGGCCCCGTCCCGCAAACACTCTCACACCGGTGTCACGCAAACACACAAAAAGACTTCTGAGTAGAGAACAGATGATACGCTCTCATTTGCTTGCGTTTGAAATGAGTTATTACTGTTTGGTTCCCTGTGCGCGCGCGGTATATTTCTCTAATTGTTTGTCTGCTTTCTTTTATTTCAACAAAATGCTCTTTGTATGCTGATGATGTGAAAACTCACTTGTGTTTGTGTCCCGCTGCCACTGTGGTATCGCAGGTTCTACGCGACGCACGCGCGCGCAAACGCAAACGCGCACACACACACACACACACACACACACACACACACACACACACACACACACACACAGGCACACACAAACACAAGTTAGATCACCTAACTCGTCAACCACCCTTTTCTACTAACAACTATTAACAGTCTGTAACAATGACAAACAAGTTCAGATTTGGGATTGATCCAGGACACATGATTAAGTACACTTGCATAGACTCTGATAAGAATGCCAGACAATTTCATATTTTGTTTATTCATTCAGTTACTTATTTTTACTGTGGCTTTAGTTCATAGTGGCGTCAAAGTTACGGTAAACTGGATTATCCACAGGCCTGTTTCGAGTGGTTAGTTACCGTATCTAATTTAGCTCCAAATTAGTTAAACCCATGTGACCAATCCAGCTCCTTTACATACAGACCTGATGTGACTTGAAACCGTTAAGATAAAAAAAAAAAAACAACCTGCAGGCAGCATAAACAGTGTGTTTAATAACCAGATCAGCAAGACTTTGGGGCCCATTTTAGTAGACTGGCACAGGTGCGCTCGGCGTTAAAATGGGTGGAAATGTATGTGCCAGTGCAAGTCTAGTCTAGCATGTTTTGGGCCATGTTGTACATGAAGCAGCCGCACCCATGAGACACCTGATAATTTGGTGACAGAAAGTAGTTTGTGCTTGGCGTAAAAGCAGGCGCATCATCATTTTTGTGCAGGGACAATGGTTTAGTTGTGAATTTGGTATAAACACCCGACCCCCAGCGGGCATTTCTGGCTTGACTCCCAACACATCTGCAAATTTAGTTACAAAAAGTAGACTCAGTTTTAGACTCACAAAAAGCAGGTCTAATTTGAGGCGCAGGCGGTCTAACTGGATTTTGACATATTTGATTGGCGCGGCAGACAAATAGGCGCCCCTCGGATTTAAAGGGTGGACGTCATGTATTTGAATCATACATATGACATCAGTGTGGGACAATACCTATGAATCATTAATTGCATGAATTATAATCATCATCATCATCATCTTGATAGAATATTTTAAAAGGACTCCTGTCACTCTTGTGTGAATGTATGTGAGGGTGAGTATCTACAGCACCTGCCCCCCCCCATGCGCTCCCCCACAGACACACACACACAAATGCACACACTCACACCTGATTATTAGGCACTCACAAAAGTCTTCATCCATCCCACATCAAGGCACAAAGGTAAAAACGTCCAGCGCAATTCTACTGATGCCAAATTATGCAATATATGAAAAGAAAGAAAAAAAGTGGAAATATTACAAGTGTGTGCAACCAGCGTTAAGATGCGGATTGTCTTGTCAAGTGACCGGTCCAGTCTTTTTGCCGCCATTCGCTGAAAGAAAACGGATGGAGCTCTACTTTAATCAGAATGACAAATATATTTCTTTGTCCTATTGGAACCAATCATGTGCGTTTTTAATTCAATCATCCATTTTCTATACTGCTGATCCTCATTAGTGGTGTGCTGGAGCCTATCCCAGGTGACTGGGTGAGAGGCGACGTACACTCCGAACTGGTCGCCAGCCAGTCACAATTGGGTGTTAATTGTTCGGGTTCATCGACTTCAAAACACATACTCAACGTGAATAAATTCACTCATCACTCCTTTTTTTAATGTGGTGTTGCATCCTCAGATGGTGTGCCGTGATGAAGTGTTTGTGTGCGTGTTTGTTTACATGACATTCCATAATCTTTGGGGCAAAAGTGTGGAATGTCTAACCTTTGACACAAAGCCGCCGAGATTAAGCTGCTTTTTTTTTTTTTTTTTGGTTCTCGTTTGATGCAAGGAGGGACGTTTGTTGTCGTTGAAGCCAGTTCTCTAAAATGACTGCGGATGGGATTGCGGATGCAGCTGGAATTAAAAAAAAGAGGGGTGGCGGGGCAGACGAAAGCAATTAGGTTGTAAAGAAGGGCCGACTGCGCTCTTTTAAAAATGAAAAGGCCAATGGCAGATGTATTGTAGATTGTCATTTCTAGGTCAGTGGTAGCGTACCCTCCCTCCTTACGCCACCTCACCCTGAGCTACCCAAGGCCGGCCCACGCATTAATCTGCCGTGATGGTGTAAAGAGCGTGGCGGCGGTATTAACCAGCTACAAAATTACTGTACAACTGAGAGGATGTTTTTCTTTTTCAGTCCGCCTCATTCATCACAAATATACATTTCTCAAAAGGATCAGTATCCCGTTTAATCACGGAAATAAATAATCTAGATAGATCTGTAAGCTTCGTACAAACGATTTAAGATATTTTATTTGTCGTGGGTAATTGTTGAAAATTAAACAGTCTATTATTACACTGTACCTCCAGAGTCCATCAACATTATTAAATTATCATACTAGTGACGAGAAATACTGTATTATGATAATTAAGGCCCGACTGATTACGGTAATTGGCTGATAGCTAATTTAAAGTTGGAAAAAAATCAGACTTCCTTTGGGATGTTTTTTTTTTTTTTTGGTTTTGTTTTTTGGTTTTTTTTTTTTTGCACATGAACACATAACCAAGATAAGATAAGAAAACCTTTATTAGTCTCGCAATGGAGAAATTCCCAATTCACAGCAGCAAAGTTATGAAAGGAAGAAGTAGAAGAACAAAATATAAGAACTGCTGGAAAGGCAGCCACTCTCGCGGCGGCGCGGCGCCATCTTGAAGTCAAAATAACAAAACAACACAATACAACATGTAAGACACAGACAGTCGTGCAATCTTAATCACTTTTCCTGTACACACTTTGTTGTTTGAAGCAGTTATTGATGAAAGAGGAGAGGATCAAAGTGTCCTTTCACCAGTGGATCAGAGAGGTCATGCTGAAAATGTGCACGTCTGCTACAAGCTCAGTTTTGAAAGCAAACACGAAGCTCTCTCTCTCTCTCTCTCTCTCTCTCTATATATATATATATATATATATTTATATATATAAAACACATAGATACAACACAAAAACATAGATAAAGACATGAAATACTACACCCCCCCAAAAAAGGCAGATTTTTGCCAATTTTTAATAAATACTAAATGACAAAGTATTGTGTAAGAGTCAAATGTCCTCCCTGTCATTCATATCTTTATTCTTGTAAACGTTAAGTGACCCAAAAAGTTATTAGATTCATCATCTATTTTTCTATTTAATTGGTTCAACGAGTATCGGAAATTTTATTCTGGCAAATATCAGAATTGGCATCAGCCTCAATATCAGTCCATATTACATATGGCATGGTTGGTCCCTGACAGATTCCTTAGAATTTTTTTTTTTTTTTGGCCAGAAAATTGTGACTGCATTCAGAAATATGTTACAAGCTTGCACTGCTTCACTCTGAGAGTTGGGAAACTCAGAACGTTGTTCAAATATCCTGCTTGGTTATTCAAAGTACCCCAATAAAGGAGTGTCAGTGCCCGATGCGTCAGGCAGTCGTAGAACTGGAAACAGTTCAAGCATGACCTGCTGATTGGTTAATAACAAAGGCTGCATTCTGAAATTAATCAGAGCAGAGCGTGTCATCATCTGCCTTTTCAAACACACGCACTCTTAGTATGGCGTCAGAATGCGCCCTGTGCAACTTTCCATAACACAACTTCTGATACAACTTCGGAAAGTTATTCTTTTTGGATGAAAATGGCTTACCTTAACTAGAATCTCGGCGACAATTGTAGCCAAGAGGTGGATTCCTGGTTGGTCATTGGACCTTTTGGTGCTGTAAATCCTTGTTGTAGTGTAACAGCACTTTTGATGTCATGACGACTGCTTCTTATTTGTTCTTCTACTTTTGTTTGGTGATTGGCAAATACCTCATGCTATAAAGACTTATACTGTGACTGCTTCGTTTTTCTTTCTTTCTTTCTTTCTCCAATTGAAACAGCCATCCCCCAGAAAATCCGCGGGGAGGCTGACCCATTTCCTGGGAGATGGTAACATGGCCACGTCACATGTTCAGATTAACGAGGTCAACACATGAGCGCGTTTGCTGATGGGCCATATGAAAATAATGTCAAACAGGTGCTTCTACGGATTGCCATGGCTCTGTGGTGTGACACAGGCGTTTTTTGTCTTTTTTTTTTTCCCCTCTGACCTCAGTAAGCACATGTTCAAGCCCGCACTTGGCATGCTAATGTGTCTGCGTCGCGACTGACACTTTTGGTCTGTGTGTCTCACGTCTTGGAATAAGACAAAATGTTCATATTTTTCTGTTAGGATGGTTTATCGAATAATAGCTATTTGTCACACACAGCTGCTCATGCTTTCAGCCTCGTGCGCTAAAATAAGAAGCTTTTTTTTTTTTTTGTGCCAATGTGCCTGAGCAATATCGTGATGTGAAATTCCTTTTTTTTTCTGTTTATGTCCAGTCTTGGGGTCTGACTGAAATAGAATAAGGCTGTGGGTCGTTTGAGGACTTCTCACAGAAAAACAACAAGTTGTTGAGAAACAAACAAAAGTCACAAAAAGAGTTGTAAATGCGGGTTACAAGTCAAGCCAAGTGGCAGCGCGTTTTAGTGGTGTCATGCATCATTTCACTACTCCATTACAATCGAATTGCATGTGATTTCTTTTATTCAAATGACAGATTTAAGTCTTGTGATAGGCATCTTAATCAATTAAAAACTCAGTCATGGATTGCACGAGAGCCCTAATCAAATCTTCATTTTTGCCAAGACATTTGGGACAGTCATATGCTTTCCCAGTAGCAACATGACAAGTGGCCGCCATCTTTGTCGAATTTTCGCAAAAAACACGGTCGGACTTCAAATGCCTCTAAAATCCTCCAGAACAAATACATTCACGAAAAACAGTTGACCGCTCAAGTACATGGCGTATTTTCCTAGCCCCATTGCTGTTCTCACCAATTATTTTCCATTTGCGCTTGAACTCCCAATTCTTGAATAAGTCTTAAGACGGCTACAAAAAAAAAAAAAAAACGGCTGTAATTTTTTCACTTTTTCACATCCTTTGATCAACAAGTGACCCAATACTTACACACATGCAACCAAATCTGACTTGTCATCATAGACTGCGCACAATTGATGACAGGATTTTGGGAATGTGTGTTGCATTTACCTCCTGACGCCCGCTGAGTCAGTGTGGCCGCTTCCCTTATTGACCAACTTTCATTCGTCCTTTCCAAACAGCCCAAGTTGCAGAGGAGCTCGGACGGCATGCAAAGTTGTGAAATCTCCTCAGACGGCGCTGATGATCCTCTTAGTAGCGGCCTGCGCACTCCTCGGCAGCCTCGAGTAGTTGTGATCGGCGCTGGCGTGGCCGGCCTCGCTGCAGCCAAGGTCCTGCTGAAGACGGGCTTCACTGATGTCACAGTTCTAGAGGCCTTAGACCGCATCGGTGGGAGAGTTCAAAGTATTGACCACGGTGAGAAAGTGACGGGGGAAAAGAAAAAAATAGAAAAACTGGCGCCATACTGACAGACAAAGGTCTTGTCTAACCACTCATTGCTGCCAGATAAAATAACCTGAGGTTGTTTTCAATTAATGACAAATTGGCAAAGTACAAGATATCACCTGACTCATCAGTTGGGGCCAAGTTCTTATCCGAAAACATCTCGTGGCACTATATTTACAGTACATACTTTAACTGAAGGAAAAACAATATGGCATGATTGTCAAGATAGAAGTGGATCGCCCTGGCCGGTGTAGCTATATTACAAAGAGACGAAACGTGACAAATATCGGAAAGAGTAAGAATATTTGAGAGTCCGTTTTCTTCCATTCACTGACTGCACTCGTGAATTTTTGCAACTCTCCACACTTTGCTTCTTTTTCACCTGCAGGTAGATATGACGTGATAAAATATATTTAAGTAGTACTGTGAACCAACATGCTGCATTTACTGGATATACTTTCTTGGTACGGCTGAGCGAAGGCTGGCTGTCTGTCACTTTATATCTGGAAATGTATATTTTTTTTGTTGCATTTCAATGACAAAGACTCTGCACGCTGCACTTTTTCCATCTACAGGTACATACAGGTATACAATTATAGCTACAGTTAAGTATTATTGTAAAACACAATATATGGCTGGATTTCGCTTCGTACCTTGAAAAAGGCGTTGAAGCGATTCCTTTTGAATTGGCCCCTTGTAATTCCGATGCATTGTCTCGCAGGTGAAACAGCTTTGGAGCTCGGAGCGACTTGGATCCACGGCGGCAATGGGAACCCGGTGTACCACCTGGCCGAGGACAACGGCTTGCTGGAACAAACCACAGATGGCGAGAAGAGCATCGGGCGCATCAGCTTGTACAGCAAGAACGGCGTCGCTCACTACCTGACCAATGTTGGCAAGAGGATCCCCAAGGACCTGGTGGAGGAGTTCAGCGACCTTTACAATGAGGTGAGAGGACAGCAGGAGCACGTTATTTAAGACCGACTGCCATCATCATCTTTGAACGCTGTATCATCTAGTGAGAGCCCAATCAAACATCTTTGCGGGACAAGACCTGAATGACAGTCAAATGCTTTGTGTGGCAAATCATAGAGCCCTTCATTGTGCACTATGAGTGCGGCGGTATCATGCACACATCTGTAAAAGCAGTGAAAGTGACACACACACACACACACACACACACACACACACACTTGTTTTGTTGTTGTTTTTCCCTAAGCGCCTAAGGGATTTTTTTTTTTCAAAATATCACACACCAGACCACCAAAACCGGATGTAGCAAATTGGGAGTCAAGCAGGTTATTAAAATTAAGCGAAGAAGGTCAGCACAGTAGTATTTCTTCTTTTCTTGACTGACTATTTCCATTGTAGTCCCAGAAAAAAAAACAAAAAAAACTGAATTACAGACTGCCACACAACTGGACTTGCAATGCACAAATAACAGGCCCGTGTATGGAGAAAGGCATCCCGAAGACCGAAGATACACAATCCACCTTAAATGACTCCTCTCTGCATTGGGGAGCAAGTGGGATATTTTCACTGTCTGTCTGATCTCTTGCCAGAGTTGACGTCCAGCGGCTCGTGTGGCTGCAAACAGTAGAATCATATCTGGAAAGCTTTCAACTTTTCATTCAACTCTGCCACAACCAGATCACATTGTTCTTCCAAATTTCCCTCGGTTCAAATTGCAAGAAACCTTAATTGCCCCACATGAGGCACGACTAATCTCTCCAACTGAAAAAAAGGGGTGTGACCTCCACGGCTAAAATTCACTCTTTAATCCGTTGCGTGCAAAGACGTGTTTTACAGCGGCACGAGTCAAGTGGAATTGGAAACCGGGAACTCATGGTTTTTTTTTTTGCAGTCGAGCGACTCAAAGTGGCACCAAAAATTTCAAGGAAATGAAGGCGTACAAGACAAAAAAAACAAAGAATCTGACCAAAATGACACAAAGACGCTCGACATCACAGCTGACCTGAGCTTAGCTTGCTCACTTCCCCAACCACATTATCTCAGTTGTTTATTTTTTTTTATTTCTTCTCTCAAAGACTTCTTTTTTTTTAACTCAAGTTCCAAAGGCTCTGGGTTATTCATCTTGGTCTCCCCCCCCCTCCCCCCCCACATAAAAAAATGGAAAATCCTGGCATTTGAAATGGCCGTGTAGACGTTTTATATCCAATGTGGGACGTGACCCGTGTTTTGACTAAAACGTCCGAATTCAGCTGGGAGCGACTCCAGTTCACCCATGGAGGCTAGGGTGGATGGAGGAAAGGTCGCCCGGTCTCCTGAAACTTCTATTCCAGTTCACCGCTGTGGCTGTCTTCCTCATTTGACCTCCGTCGTCGGCACATCCTTCTTCCTCTTTTCGCAGACTGATGACTGTCCGTCTCGTTTGCCTCTGTTGCCTTCCTTTAGGTGTACCAGCTGACTCAAGAGTTTTTCCAGCATGGGAAGCCCGTTGGGGCCGAAAGCCAGAACAGCGTTGGCATCTTTACACGAGATGTGGTGCGCAAGCGGATTACGATGGATCCTGATGATTCCGAGAACACCAAGAAGCTCAAGTTGTCCATGCTTCAACAGTACCTCAAGGTGTGTGTGTGTTGGGGGGGAGGGGGGGGGGAATCCTTGCAGGCGTTACCACCTGCGGTCTTCCACAGCTGCGGCACAAAACACAGCTGGTGTACACTAATTGAAAATCTATTTTGAATCCATCCATCCATCCATTTTCTGAACTGTTTTATCCTCACAAGGGTCGGGGGGGGGGGGGCTGGAGCCTATCCCAGCTGTCTTTGGGAGGTAGGCGGCGAACACCCTGAACTGGTTGACAGCCAATCACAGGGTACACAGAGACGAACAACCATCCTCGCTCACACTCACCCTTAGGGACAATTTAGAGTGTTCAATCAGCCTGCCATGCATGTTTTTGGAATATGGGAGGAAACTGGAGTACCCGGAGAAAACCCACGCAGGTCCGGGGAGAACATGCAAACTCCACACAGGGAGGCCAGAGCTGGAATCAAACTCTGTGCCTCTGCACTATGAGGTTGACACGCTAACCACTTGACCACCAGGCCGCCTATTTTGAATACAGTCCTCCTGAAAACCCGGCCCGGTTGGTCAATGAGGAAATGGCCATAGCAAGCAAGGCCTCCTTGACCGTTTTGTCTCGTCTTTGACTCAGCGAACTCCCTTCTCTGATCGGCTGACAAGTTTTACTTAAAAATATCCACCAACTGCTCGTACGGGCCAAATTCTGACATGTCGATGGATCAAAATTACCGGGACGTTTCAAACGTTGACACTTGCTTTAAGAACTCGAACTTGTACAAATGGAAGATTATTGCTGAGAAGCGCAGTGTGGGCATAGGTCATGTGCTTTGGAGTCAGTTGTTATTTTAGGGAATTTGTTAAGGGGAGGAGGGGGGGATTTTAGAGGCATTTGAAGTACTCATTCCATTTTTTTTTTAAAGAAACTTCCACAAAGACAGCAGCCACTTGTGAAGTTGCTAACAAGGTTGTCACAAATTTAAGGAACGTTGTCTTTCCTTAGGTCGAGAGTTGTGAAAGCAGCTCACCCAACATGGATGAGGTGTCTCTGAGTGACTTTGGCGAGTGGACCGAGATCCCCGGTGCGCATCACGTCATTCCAGCAGGTTTCAATAAGATTGTGGAGCTCCTGGCCAGGGACATCCCCCCTCATACCATCTGCCTTAGAAAACCAGTCCGCTGCATCCACTGGAACTACTCTGCCCAGCGTGACGAGTCGATCGGCAAGCGTGACGACTTCAACCGGGACAACAACCACAATCGAAACAACGCTGGGCGCCACGGTCCCCCGAAGGCGGGGAAGCCCATTTGGGTGGAGTGCCAAGACGAGGAGTGGATCATGGCCGACCACGTGATCGTGACGGTCTCCTTAGGTTTTATGAAGTACAACCACGAGGCCATGTTCTCCCCTTCTCTACCAGAGGACAAGGTGCTGGCCATTGAGAGGCTGGGCATCAGCACCACGGATAAGATTTTCTTAGAGTACGCCGAGCCATTCTGGAGCCCCGAGTGTAACAGCATTCAATTTGTTTGGGAAGACGAGGCCCAGCTGGAACAGCTGACTTACCCCGAGGAGCTGTGGTATAAGAAGATCAGCAACTTCGACGTGCTCTATCCCCCAGAGCGCTACGGCTACCTGCTGAGTGGCTGGATATGTGGCGAGGAGGCCGTCTACATGGAGCGCTGCGATGATGAAACTGTCGCGGAGACATGCACAGAGCTGCTCAGGCACTTTACAGGTCAGAACAGCCGCAAACAAAATGCATTATGAGCACATGTAAGCTTGTAAGCCATCTCGTAGTCGCCATCGTGTAAAATCTCACATTCCCAAACAGGCTTGGTTCAGTCGGTACACATTGTACCGTACCAACCCACTTTTCAGCACGCCTTAATACCAGTCCCAGTCGCTAAACCCACCGTTGGTCTTTGATTGGTCTGAATGTCCACTTCCATGAGAAAGGTGCAGAACAAATTGTGTCATTTCCAAAAACGGGATTTATATCAGGGAGAGGAATTTAGGCTATTTTGATGTTTGTTTTCTGTTCACAGTGCACAGCGCTGTACTATGTGGCATTTGTTTGTTATGTAATTCATTGACAGACACTCTTTACATTCTTCCGGGCGGTATCACATTCAGATGGTATAATGAGCAAAAATACTGTTGCTAGTAGGTAAATTGCAGGTAAGTTAGTAAACGTAAAGAGAAAATAAAGCAATTATCTGAACTATCAAACCATGTAGTACAACAGGAAAAGAACTTATTCCTCAGGAAAAAGAGTAGCTAGCTATTTCTCTGCTTTGTGAAATAATGGATATGAATTGATGTTAGCCATGCTAGTTAGCGAGTCATCCGAGTCTGTATCAAGTCTATACAGTGGAGACCCGCATACTCGCGGATTCCCATAATCACGGATTTCTTTTCATTTTTTTTCCAACGTTTAAAAAAATATTTGTTTTGTTTTTGAGGTGTTTTCTCCCCTCCCCATTTCCCCGTTTTGTTGTTATTGTGGAAAACGCATATTGAAGGTTGATCTGCGTTTTTTTTTGAAGATTTTTTGAGTTGGAAAAAAAAAATTATCCCAATACTTTTCAATGGGCATTAGTAATAGACAGACAGATTGTTGCTCTTTGCGGGCCGGCCGAGTCCCTGCGAATAGCGGGGGCCCACTGACGTATTTATTTTACCAATCGTAGACACGCTAACTCCCATAGTTGGCTGCCAATGTTGATTTAAAGACAGCATTATAACGCTATCTTTACCTTAAATTTGTCAAAGGGTGAGTGACGGTGACTGCTCGCACGCACAACAAAAGGGGTGGGGGTCATGTCACGTTTCATGCAAAGAAACAAACACAAAAACAACAACAACAGCTCAGACTGACGATGGAAATGTTTAGCTATTCCGAATGCGTGTCTAGCTAACTAGCCCGTGCCTACTGGAAATGTGGTGAAGAAATACTGCCGCATCTGACGGGCCAGATGAAATGAAATTTTGTCCAGGTTTCATGTTACCATTCATTCTTGACTGATCTTCAACATTTGAGAGTAATTGTCTCTAAATATACACACGGAAACCGAGGTGTACAGTTAGAACACCACGCGCCATGATTTTGAATCAATATTTTCACATTCACTGTGAAAAGATATTCATACCAAGGTTGCTTTCAGATCAGCATATCAAAACAGTACAGTTGCAGAATCTAACTACAGCGCTGTGTGCCGATTATGGTATGTGAATATGAGCCAAGGCAGCTGCTCCAGTTCTGAGGTTCTGGGTTTGACTCTTGGCTTCCTCCTTCCTATGTGGACAAGTGCTTTGAGAAAAAAAAAAAATGAATGGACCACACACTGATTACTGTCATCAGCCACCTGAGACTAACTTCATAATTGTAACGTAGGAGGTATCATCTTTCAAATCTGAGTTGAACCTAGCTGCTAATGCCACGCGGGTTCATCGTGAACTCACAGAAGTTGGTCAGCTTTGTGACTCACTGTAGCACGAAAACTCGGCCGCATCGTCAGTGACAAGATCAGGTTTGGACAATGACATCATAAAATACACCAGTGTTGACTAGATGACTCATTTAGTGTTAGTCCAGTAAGCAGTGTGTGTCAACAACTTCAACAACTCATTGTGAGTCAGATAAAACGCAGGTTTGACTTTTCTTGACTGTTGATACATTCACAACATATATATGCGCACGTTTGAGAGATTATGAAGAATGTAAATAGAAATACAGTGGCCGAACTGTCATAAAATCTTCTTGTTTTAAATATTTTAACACTTTACTGTCATAACTGCTCGTATTCTGAGCATGATGAGATGATTTGTGTACACTAGTTTTGTCAAAAGGGGGTGGCTAGCTGTAAATGAGTTGACTCCGTGCACCAAACTATTTAAGAAACCTAGAATAGGTGTACGCACCATTTAATATGTTATCACGAGGGTCACAGGCGTGTTGGAGCCTACCCCAGGTACACCCTGAACCGGTTGCCAGCCAATCGTGCGGCACACATAGACAAACAAGCATTTGCTCTCACAATCACACCGAGGGACATTATAGAGTGTTCAATTAATCTTCCATGCATATTTTTGGAATGCGGGAGGAAACCAGAGTACCCACAGAAAAGCCACGCAGGCACGGGGAGAACACCACACAGGAAGGCCGGAGCCAGAATCGAACCCTGCACCTCTGCCCTGTGAGGCAGACGTGCTAACCAGTCGCCCACGGGCCGCCAGAATGGTATTTCGTTTGGATTCGTTTATTTACTGTGGTCTATAAGAACCCAGACAATAACCACCAACGCATCAACACCATGCATTTAGCATGTACGCGGTCATAACCCCATGTTACTATACAGTAACAACGGTATTCAGTCGTGAAATCTTTCAACACAAACAAACCACCGACAAATGAAGCTCGACGACATTCACTCCAGATTTAACACGCACTTCTACCGTAACAAATTTGAAAGGCAACTCGTGCCAGGATGCGCAGAAATGGAGAACGACCGTGGTTTCGACTCAGTAAGCAGCAGCAGCAGCAGGAATAGGTTACTGCCGAGCGTGGGCTGAAGCGCTTCTTGTCATGAGGCCAGCGGGAGTCATATGCTGACTGTCAGCTGCACACAGTCTGGTCAACGGGGTTTAATCCCATCACTAGCGTTTTAATTACACATCTACTTACCAGTGGTTTGTCGCCAGTCGGATGGGCGGATGAATGGAGGGAGCAGATTAGGAGTTGTGGTTACACACTCCGATTTGCATCTTCAGTGAGATCCTGTATTAAAAGTGCAAGGATGACCGTAAGGCAAGGCAGCTTTATCTACACATTGCACATTCCGTACGAGGGCCAACTCAATGTGCTTCACAGAAACAAAACCAACGCCCTTAAAAGCAGTTAAAAACACAACAGCTAACAACATTCAGAAGCAGAAAATTTTAAAAACATTTAAAAGTAAATTAAGGAAATAATAATGATAAAATATTTTATATTATAAATATATATAATATATAATAAATATATATAAAATAAAAAAAATAAGGAAATAAAAGTAGGTTTCTAAAAATTACTAAAAGACCATACTGTGAATTTGATTTTAAAATTATTTTTTAAAACAAGCATTGTCAACAGTATGCGGGGGCGGCAAGATTTGAACCTGGATTTAAAAGCATTTACTTTCGGGGCAGACTTCACTTCTGTTTGCATCTTATTGCATTTGCGTGCAGCATAGCAGCTAAATGTGGCTTCACCGTGTTTGCTTTCAGCTCTGGGCTCGACCAATTGACCAGAGTCTGCAGAAAGTAAATTAGATAAAAGGGATTAGGCTCCTGATAAAAATGTCAGTTTGAGTAGTTCACTCGCAAGCTGTCTGGGAGGGGCAAGTCAAACCAAGGCAAGAGAAATGACAGTAAAGACGACAATGTGCAGGATGTCAGCTAATTCTGTGACAAAGTCAGACCGTGAAGATTTTTTGGACGGTTGGGTTGTCAACGTCTCCTCCACGTCTATAATAGTTGTGGATATTTTATTAGGTTTTAATTTCATTTTGATTTTTGTTTTTAAGCTTCTGTTAGTTCTAATTTAATTTTAGAGCAAATTTTTGTTTGTATTTTTTCACGACTGCTTTCATTTACTTGAATTCATTTTAGTATTTTAAGTTTGAAAAAAAAAAACGGAGTGTGAATTGTCAAGTGCAGGATAAAATAAAAAAAGGTCACTAAAGTATTGTATACTCCAGTAAAATACAATTCTCAAACGACCGACTGACATTTGTTCTTCTGTACGGACGCACAGCAACGCTGAAATAAATCCATTTAAAATGAACCCGGAAAGTTCATGAATGCCGTTAACTGACAAAAACGAGGGACATTTTCAATGTAATTGCAGTTAGTCTTAGTTTTACAATCCCAAGATTGTCGTTTCAGTTTTTCATGAATGAAAATGTTTTTCCGTTCAATGTTAGTGATTTCATTTGTTTTCGTTAACTCGAATAACCTTGGTTCGGACTATGTCTTCTTTGATATTTTCGAATTGTCCCTGGGACCGACATGTTTGCACTGCAGCTGATCAAAAACCTCGCTGGTAACATGAGCCCTCATGCTCCTCGCAGGCATAACAATCCGCATCTTTGTTGGCCAGTTAGGAGCAAGAAAGTTGTGCATCTGTAATTTCATTTGATCATTCGCTGTGCTTACTTTAGTCTTGAGGCACTGAAAAATGTACTGAAGGTCCATTGTTCACTTTAAAGGCCCTTGGTCATTGTCCGGAAGTTACTGTATTTTTGGTGATGTCCTGTTTGTCGTGTAAAGATGTCGCGGCAAAAATGCCCAAAGGCAAGTGCTGTCATAGAACAATTGTGAACAACCTGTGTTCAGGTGTAGCAATCGAATGACGTCAAACAACGGGAAGTTACGCTTGAGGTCGAACTTTACGCAAGCTCTTGTGCAAATGAAAAAAATGACGAATCAAACACTTTCCACTTACTTTGTAAGTACGCTAAGTTTAAACTAATTTGATGATACAAAATCAAGTTGGGGGGGAAAAAAAAATCAAATGGTCAGATGCGGTTTCTGAAATCAACAGGAAGTGAAAATGTCACCACTTGAAGCAACCGGCCACTGAAAGAGGAACTCTGATGAACACGACGTAGTAACAAGCCTCAAGCAAACCAAGTACGAGGCATTTAAATTAAATCGGTAGAACTCAAGACGCAAGTCCAGTCTCGTGGAAGTCTATCGAGACTGCATATCATGCAAAATGATGCTAATTGTCTTTTTTATCCACAGGGAACCCCGACATTCCAAAGCCCCGGCGCATCCTGCGTTCCTCCTGGGGTAGCAACCAATACTTTCGAGGGTCCTACTCCTATGCCAGGGTGGGCTCTAGTGGCGGAGACTTTGAGAGGCTGGCCACGCCACTGCCTGACGCCAACAGCACCAAGGCTCCGGTAACTGTTACGAGACTTTTTTTTATGAAAAAAGTGGATGCGTGACACAACTTTTTGTCATTAGTCCGTCAGGTGAACTCGTTGTTAAAATAACGTTTAAATGTTTTTAAAGTTCTCGACTGGTTCACTTCTTACAGTCGAATGGTAAACAATAAATTGCCCTTAAGTGCCAGCAGACTATCCACTGTTGCGAATCAAGGAAAAAACCTGCACCGTCATGGAAATTATTAATATGAAAATATATTAAAAGATATGAACCGGTTTGATGAAGTGTGACTAAGCCAAAAGTCAAACAAACACTGCAGTGCCTTTTTTAAAAACCATTGCGCGACAGAATTTGTGATGGGGAAAAACAAATAGCCCCCCCCCTCCCAAAAAAAAAAAATGTCACAATGACACAGACGCCATTTTCACCTTGAATACTGTATCTCTCTCGCTTTCTCTCGTCAGCCCCTGCAGCTCCTGTTCGCTGGCGAGGCCACCCACCGCAAATACTATTCCACTACCCATGGTGCATTGTTGTCCGGACAGCGAGAGGCCTACCGTCTGGTGGAGATGTATCAGGACTGGCACACCACTGAACACCACAAAGCCTAATATGTAAATATAAGCAAAAAACAAACAAACAAACAAACAAAAAAAAAACCTTTGACTCATCTGAAAAACAAACACTTTTTAAAAAATAAATCTTACGGCTTAATTTATAATATTATATAATATATAGGTGGTGGGCATTATTACTTTTGGTAATGTTTTTCTGTACTGTAGATGCAAATCACGCCACATTTATGTCAGGTGAAATACTGAAAATTTGCCAATGGTGCTCTGTCATTTCTTTTCTTGACCACTCAAAAATGATGCTTTTTTTTTAAATGCAAAAAAAAAAAAATCATTTAATGTCTTTAATAACACAGCAACTGTGATTTAACCTTGTTTTAATGTCAGTGCCTTCTTGATCTAATGTTTTAAAAAATACATACATATAAAAATTCTGAACTTTTAAACAAATTAAATGGTTCTACTGTCATCTCACAAGACCATTCTGTTGTCATTGTCTTGTTTTTTTTGGGGGGGCGGGGGGGGTCACAGGACAATTTGGAGAGGAAACAGAAGAGAACGTGCAGACAGCTAAACTTTGATGACGAGATGATGGTGATTGGCCAAAGCTTTGATCAAAAACTAGCATTCCATTTTATCGGCATATTGATAGGTGGACGGGTTATCTCGGCCAAGTAAAAGTGCCGACAGAAGCGGTGCGTTGTCAAACCCTACGCGATTGAGCCGATCAGGACATCGGAGCCGGTCAGTGGAAGTCAAAGTGAAAGTGATGACTGTGTCAACGCCACTGAGGAGCCTCGATTAGAGTCGACACAATCCCACGCAGAGCGGATTGGAAGTACAGACTGCTATGTTTTTGTACCCCTGTATCTACATACGGTATATATTCGGTATAAGGACTTCGAATACAGATAGAAGCTTACTTAAAAAAAAAAAAAAACATTTCAACGTAGTCTCTCAGCACTGTCACCAACTTTTCCCATCTGTACACAAGCTTCCATATTTCCTCTGTAAAAATCTTTGGACTGATGTCTCAGCCAGGCGCTCACAACACTTGGCTTTATCGTCACTTTTTTTCGTTGCGAAAGGGGGTTTGAGCGATATGTCAGGGGAGCGGGGGGGGGGGGGTCAGGGTTTTAAGAAAATCATAGCATAATATACAGCCATACCTCGGGTTTTCGACCATAATCCGTTCCAGAAGGCTGTTCGAAAAGCGATTTGTTCGAAATCCGAAGCTATGTTATTAGCCCATGATTAGGGGCGAATACACTATGCAGAAATAACAACCAAAAAAAAACCTGTTAGATTTGCGTAAATTACAACAAACGCGGCTACTCACATTGAATGTTACACGAGTCTTCCTCATCTAGGGAAGCCGAGAGGAGCCGAGGGGCACATTCGGGTTTGCTCAATTTGGTCGAAAACCCGGTTTTCGGGCGTAATCACAGCCATAAAAATGCCTTATTTTCTGGTCGAAGTCCGATTTGCTTGATAACAGAAACGTTCTAAAGCCGCGGTTTGACTGTAGTTTAAAATATAAAAGAAAATGCTGGAGGGCTTTGCCGGGGCTCCACGGAATTCTGACGGTCCATGCAGTCATCTCGGACAGCTAAAAACAGTGATTCCTAGCAGTGGCGGATGCTGGTCTGTCAAGGAGGGGAAGCTCAATATCGGCCGACATAAAATGTGTCCGTTTATTTATACGTGAATTCGACTCTCCGTTCCTTTTCAAAAAAATCACAAGGTTGCCTTCACCATAAGATCGGTGATTGGCTCATTTCGCTGTCAATCAAAAAGAGACAGATCATCCAATCATTATGCAGAAAAGCTCAGCTTCCGTGTCAGCCCATAAACGCCCACTGTCCATAGACTCCGAGAGACGCTGAGCGTCCAATGGGCGGGACAAAACCAGCATTTATCCAATGACTGGTCTCGTTTCAATGCATTGGGACAACCTACACTAAACTCTCTCGGCGCCCAGCGTCCGCGCGGTACACGCTCAGCTTTGACACAGTTCAAAGCACAGTGAAGCTGTGGGATTTAATGAGAAGAGATTCGCGTCGTAACCAGTAATAAGAAGCCGATTCGGAAAAAAGTTGAGCGCATTGTGGCGCATATTTAGTCAATGACATGTGCACACAATTGTTTGTACACACATGTATTTGATCACTTATTGTTGGACATTTTAGGGAAAGCTGAGCTTCCCTCGCAGTCTTAAAACAATCGCCTCTGATTCCTAATTACTTTTAAATATCATTACGGCTTTCTCCCACCAAGGCCAACTCAAACAAAACCCAGGGAAAAAAAGCATATTTTGAAGCATGTTTATTGATGACAACAAATGAAAGATAAAACCATATATTGCAGTCATCAGCAGTTTGAACCTTCAACACAATTTTTCTATTGTATTTTGCCGTCACGAGTGAAGTTCATGGATGCCGTTAGCATTTGCAACATACACACAAGAAAAAAAAAAGAAAAAAAAGAAAAACAACGTCACACTTAATCACCGGGATAAGTGTTGAGGTAATATGCAAAATACGATTCAGATAAATGGGTAGAGTACAATCGTTCATACGTGAAGTACAAGTATGTACAGTGTGTACAATTTGAAGAGAATGTCGATGCACGACGGTGACATTTGCTTCATCGGTTAAAGAAACAAAAACAAAACAAAAAAAATGACTGACACCTGCAAAGGCAGAACTCGCGGGTTCATTTGGCACCTGTCGTCTGCTTCTCGCAGGGCATCTTCAGCCGGACTCACACGCTCGTGTATTCAGTATACGTGATGCAAAACTCCCCAAATAATGTTTTTTTATCATATTGGGTCACGAACTGAAAAAGCAATCGACGCAAAATGCTAACTCGCACGATTTTTCGCTTCTCAGCGGGCTCGATGATCATTTAAACAAAAGTGCATCTTATTGAGTCAAATACTTAGAAACAACCCAACATTTAGAAAAAACAACACTCTTCAATAAACATCTGTAATATATTTGTATGTATATACTATATGTCTCTATATTTATTTATATATTTTTTCTTTTACTAGTGCAACAACAGACAAGAGTCAACTCAAGAGAAATGTTAACAAACGGCAGGCAACCGAAGCTGTTGAACGTCACGTTTCTCTCCACAGTAGCAGAACATTGAAAAGGCAACTGAATGATGCGTCAACACAAACATGCCAACATTATACATTTTCTCTTTTTTTAATATATATACATATATAGAAATAAATAGTGGCATTGTCATCTTTATCTTCTTTAAATAATTTCCTTCTATATGTCCATGGTGCACATTTAATATAAAGTATCTAAGACACAATTCAAAACACGACTGAGATACGTCATATAGTTCTCTAACGGCTTTCCCTCAACTTGAGAAGGCTCGCACAATGTAAACATCCGGAGTCTTCCACCGGTGATCAAATTTTGCGGCTCTTCGTTTTTTTTTTTTCTTTTTCAAATCAGATTTTTCTCTTTTCTTGTCATCAACTTTATGTACAGAGTAGCCGACAGCAAAGGCGGGATTGTCGAAAATGTAAATGCAAGTCTATCATGTTTCTAAACCCATCGGGAGTGTTGATGATGATGATGATGATGATGATGCCATTACTACAAAACATTGTCGATTGTACAGCTTTAACTGAGAATGAAAATCTGGATCTATACAGTATGTATATTGGCTGAAATTTGTGAGGAAGTGTAACGGGTTACATGTACTGATTACACCTTTGGACCTTGAACCACCTTCCCCATGTAACACTGATAAATAATACTGGGGGGTAACCAAATTGAATAAAATTCCGATAACCGATGAATCGGTTGATGAGTTAAAAAAATAAAATAAAAATCATATTTTTTCGTCCCTTAATGCTCGCAACAAAAGAAATATGAATTACAGATAGAACACAATACTTTGTCCTTGGAGCTGAAAAAAATCTGCAAACATCTTTTTGCCAAACAAGCTTAATCATAAGACTATGATTAAATTGCCCAGCCAATTAATCAGTCAAGCCCGAAGGACCACGACCACATTTCCTCAAATAGTGACCGCTGCTCTAAATTTTATTTTTTTTTGCTCAGACTGATGGGTACAATTCCAATTTTTACACGGTACTATTCAATTACAATAGAATTTTGATTTTAAGAATGTGTCTTCATTTAGGGTCGTGGGTGGGCCATTTCCTAGCTGACTTTTGGGAAAGTAGCAGGTTACACCCTGGGCTGGTCACCGGCCAGTTGCAGTACGTTGAAAATTAATAATCAGATGATACTAGATTGCATTTGTACAAGTACAATTGATTTCACTGCAGTGTTAAATTCGCACAAAAATACTGGTAAAATAGTGACATTAAAATGAAAAGGAAACACAAATATATTGTTTTATGCAAATCCATCCATCCATTATCTGAGCCGCTTATCCTCATAACGGTCGCGGGCATGGTGGAGCATATCGCAGATGATCAGGCATGAAGCGGGGTACACCATGAAGTGGTTGCCAGCCAATCGCAGTGCACACATCGACAAACAACCATCCACGCTCACACTCACAGCTCGGGACAATTTAGAGTCTTCCATTAGCCTGCCATGCATGTTTTTGGAATGTGGGAGGAAACCGAAGTACCGGGAGAAAACCCATGCAGGCACAGGGATAACATGCAAAGTCCACACAGGAAGGCCGGAGCTCGAATCGAACCCTGCACCTCTGGACTGTGAGGCCGACGCTCTAACCAGTCGACCACCGGGCCACCCCATTTTATGTAAATATGTATTAAATTATTTGTAACTTAAAAAAAAAAGAAAAATCACTACATTTAGTCAATAAACATCCCTGTCAACTATTTGAGGAAATAACACAATTTTCAAGAGCCACTTAACATTGAATCCAGCAGGGGGGAGGAAAAAAAAAACATCCCTGAAAAAAATTCCTGAAAGTTTGAAGATGACTTCAAAATGTTGGCCGATAAGGAACACCGCGGTGTGATTTAATGATGAGCTCCCCTCTGCGTGTAACAAAGCGAGCGTGCGCGCATGAAAACAAAAGTTCCATGCGCTAAATGTGCCACCTGCGATTACACGTTTCCTCCTTTGACATGTCAAACGCGTGTGCCTGAAAGCGAATGTGAGTTGCTGTCAGAAGCTTTTGTTCCGAGGCAAGCTTCTCTCACGTCATATTGCACGTTGAGCAAATCCACGGAATGCGACGTCTCTGGCAGCACAACAGAATTTTACTTTTTAACGTTTGATTCTTCGTCGCCTCCACAAATGCCGTTACGATGTACTTCTTCATTTAACCTTCACATCCTCCAAACAATGTGATCTCACCAGTAGAATCGTGTCCACATTTACCCGATTCTAAATCCGGGGTCATCCCTTTTATTTGCACTATTGGTGGATTTAAGTATTGCGAGCCTACAAGCACAATCACATTCTATTGCCACTTTTCCATTGCATGGTACCCACTCGGCTCACAGCAACTCTACCGGTACTTGCTGTTGGAGCTTTTCCAATGGCAGAAGCAGGTACGACCAGGCTTCCGTATCGTCACCATCCGAGAATATTGGCCAAAGTCATTTAATCAATTTTTTCCAGAAAACAAAAACAAACAAACAAAAAAAATGTACTGTACTAGATATGGATATTTTCATGTCATTTTATTTTCAGAGGATGACGATTTGAGGACCTAATTCACCTACTGAAAACTAGAGCGGTCCAACTCAATTGTTGTGATGTTTATGTGAAGTGCAGAAATGAATCGGGAAAGGGCTCAAATTTAAAAAAAAAAATTTACATACAGGCAGCAGGCCATTATTGCACTTATCCAGATTTATCAGAACATCCAGGGGCTGCTCGTCAATAGAGGGTGCTATGTATGTGTGTGTGTGTGTGTGTGTGTGTGTGTGTGTGTGTGTGTACCCAGCAGTGTAGACATATCAGCAGTACACACACACATTAACATACATTGAGAGAGAGAGAGAGAGAGAGAGAGAGAGAGAGAGGGAGAGACACACACACACACACACACACACACACACACACACACACAATGTCCCTGATTGTCCCTTACGCATCAAAATGCCGAGTTGACATCAGAACCACAACACTGTTTGCCTCATTTAACTCCTGATGACTCTCGACCACAAATGACAAAAAGTAAACACATGCGCTAATATTAGCTTGGCAGTGCCTCAGTGCTTTACAATGCAGTTTTCTACAACTCAGTCTCCATTTTGATAAAACGTGGGACCTAATGCTGTTAATACAGAAGACCTCCTCCGTTCCTCCATTGTTCCTCCACATTCCGACTGATCGATTCAATATGGTGCGGTTTTCCCAGTATGCTGAGAAGAACAAACGCGTTGAAAACAACGGAAATGAGTCGAGCCAAGCCGAGCTACTTTTGTGCAGTGGAGAACTGGGCGCCGTTGAAGAGTAAAATAAGTACGATTCGAAAGGTGCTTTTTGTGGCGATGCTGAGAGACAAACACTCACACATTCAAACGTTAGATTTTTTTTTTTTAACGATCGTATCCAGCCATCAGTTTTCTTATTCCGCGTGCTGTCATTAGCTGACTCTGGGAGCACGGCTACTTGCCAATAGTAGGATGTTTTGTTGCACACATTTCCCTGCGAGTGCACAGCAAATGATTCAGACCTCACACATTCTGTCTCTGATTGGTTGATTTTCTTTGGGCGCTGTGTTGAATAAAATCTCATTGGATGTACAAGATGAAGCCAAAGATTTGATCCCCCCCCCCCCCCCCCACAGAATATTTCAGTCATGTGCTTTAACAAATATGACAAAGTGTTTTTCTTTAATTGCAAAGTTTCTCTTCAATTGATCATTAATGGCGACGGTATCCTGTAATGCGTTAACCTACATTTACCTCCCGATTTCTTTGGCATCTCTCAGCATTCACGCAATTTCTTCAGCCATTGCACAAGGGGGCTTCCACAATTTAAGAAGGACTTTTGTTCCTACTTTGGCGACGTAACCCGAATTCGTACACACTTTGGCATGCGTCGTAGTCTATCACAAAGCTACGTTAACGCAGTAGTAGTGTCGTGTTGGTATGAAAAACCGTTTGCGGCCATCAATATCAAACGGTAAGCACGGCGGTAAGAGTTCAAGAGATCACATGCTTACGGCGCTCTGTGTCGTTCGGAATCCTGCCATCCAATTGTGATGACGGTTGAAAAAATCCGTCAGAAGGCGCCACCGGGAAGAATTAACACCGTGACGACACTTGCGGTAGGAGCCGACCAAACTAGAAGGACATGAAATATTCCCACATTAATGGCACATCGGATGAAAAAAAAAAAAATCTCACCGCAATGAGGGCAGACATGAATGGCACTGCTTTGGATTCTGAGTGCTGTTCTCTTTGTTTGCATGATACATTTTTTTTTTTTAAACACCATCAGGGCAGGAAAAAAAAGAACAATATCCACTCTGAAAGCAGAGGACGGTTGAGGAAATGCATGACTGCCAAACCAGGAAGTAGGTGCAGCACGCTTCTTGTGCAGGAAGTTGAAGCATGAAGTGTAAATTCGGTCACAAGCCTCGGCTTAAAATTTTGTCTCAAGCGGAAGGCTTAATGTGACCCCCGCCCGGGTCCACATCAGTTGCGAGTATTTCGACAATGAGATCTCACTCCAAGAAGCAACGTGATCCATAAAAGGAGGAATCGGTGCTTTTTTTTTTCTTTTGAAATAAATGTCATCCGGATCCCGCCATGAGACCACATCAAGTCACAACCATCACAG